AAAATTTAATTATGACCTCATGTAATTAAATGCTGATTGGGTTGGTTGATAAGTTTATCATAAAAAAAGTAGTGAAAATAAGGTTTATCATTTCTATTTCTTCATTTATAGTGTCATGTGATATTTATAAGTGCTTAGATCCACCATTGAAAACCTTGACGAAGCCCTCGAAGGACTGGTTTTCGTCCTCAGTACAGGACTCATCGACAGTGTGTATCTATGGCCGTTTCACATGGAAGTTCGATCAAGGCCCTTCGGTCTCGCTCGCGGGCATAACCTCTAGACTATTGAGTCAACACTTGACGGTGTTAATGTCTAACTTGAATTGATCCCCGGTATTACATGACCATCATTCATTGTCTTCGGTGGATAACTGCTTCACACTTAGCACAGTTGAACTGCACTAGTCACGTATTTCAACGAACTCCGAGAATCTTCTGTCGAAGCTAGTTGCCAGTGATCATATGGTGATTTTCAATATAAGGGTTATGGAAGTTGTTGAGTTCCATTGAAGCTTCGAAGGTTCTGGATGCACACTGTGGAGTCTCGTACATGAACGAAACGACCGACCGGTTGTTCAAGTTTTCGGTCTTTGTAATAACATTGATTAGTTCATGATTTCAGGTAAACTCAGGTAAACTTTCCACAACTCTCATGTATATATAATTCAATTTGAACTCGTTATTGATTAGGTCACTGTTTATGCTTTGTAACGTTTTCTACGATACATGAAATGATAGAAGCAATTATTCTTTCATAACTCAAATGACTTCAGTCACAGAAATCTTTTTACTCTGAAACGTTGCGTAAATTGGATATATAACAATAATTGTTGACATAAACGTCGTCCGTGATCACACTGTCTTCAGTTCTTAATGGTTATCATGTGTTACGGATTAACATCTGACTGTAATCGCTGATTTGAGCGACTTCATATCATATTTGACATTGTACAATCTTTCAAAGATGATCCTTTACTTCTTATCCAGTCCTTTAGAGACTACCTTGTGATTAAAATATATATGTGTAGTGAGAACATTATCTATGTTACTGAGTAATGATGTGAGTCTAAGACATTGGAGTCGGTAAATACACTTTACTGTGACAGAACCAGTTTTATTCAATTTTACCAACTAGTAAGTAATCAACAAAATATGTTGTAGACTACAATGATTCATTTAAAATCGGGCATAATTATCTGTTCTCTATATTTGTTGTTGTCGTTTATTTAAAGCTTTCTCGACTTTTGGGAGGTTTAGATGCTTTAGTGCCAAAATTTGTTGTACTTGATCCACCGTTAATAGCTCGATGGATTCGTATCTATCCATATCGTGATACACCAGGCTTTGTATGCATTAGACTGGAAGCATACGGCTGCCGATTCTCAGGTAAGACCGACAAATCCTTTCACTAATTTAACATTATTATTTATTTCGCAATCTCAGTACCACTGAATTCCATTTCCACTGTGTTACGATTTTTTCCTGTTTTTTTAAAAAAAGTCAGTCAGTCAGTTGTAAGCAACGTAGAACCTGGTATATATGTCTATCGGTTCAACATAATCATAGCAAGGTGAAATTATCAAGACAAAATGTCAAATTAATAAAAGTATTGACTGTCATCAATTATAATATAAAGGATTGAACATAAAAAATATAACCCCCAAAGAAAGAATAAATTTATAGAATTAAAAGTAAAGGTACCTTGAGAAAATCATGAATGACAATAACTGTGCATATTTCAACTTGACAGTGTACACCTATACTTACACGTAACTCTAGCTTGTGTTGGGGACGTTAGATCCCCAGAACTCACTTGGGAAAAGTTCTAATTTTGGCTTTTTTTTGTGTTATCGCGCATAAGCTGCTCAGCTGACCTTGAGATTATATTTCCCACTCGAAAAATCCCTGACTATCATTCGTTGATGTATTATTTTAATATGCTACTTTGTGGCTCTTCCAAGTACGTTGCTATAATTGTATAAATAAGCTTGATTTGTACTGCTTAGCCACCTGGTATTTTCTGGGTGCTTGTAGAATACATTCTCTACTCCTTATCAAGACTTCTTGATCTAGTTAGCGAGGCATGGGACAATAGGATTAGAATAGCCTATCATGTCACTGTATCATTTGTCTTCGCTCTCGTTTACCGAGTAAGACGAACTCGTAATAGTTTCAAGTATATCACTTGTAATGATTAGTTTATTCACCTTCATAATGATGAAGACTATTCTAAGAGCCAATAAATAAAGAGAACAAGTACTACTTAGTAGTAATTAATACGAATTATTGCATAGAAAATGTTGGTAACACTTATACACAAAATATTATTTCATTTATTGAAAAAAAGGTATATTTCATTCACCCTAATTTTTTCATTAGTAAAACTACGTTTAAATGAATTGACATTATGAATGCCTTATTTGTCTAATCGATAATTGATGACCAAAAATTGTTTGGAATTTTTCAGAAAAAAATAGATAATTTCAAAAAAAATTCAACTGAAAATATATATGTATATTACTTACTAATTTGTATCAATCAGTTAAAGTTGGTTTATTTAATGTTGTGTTTATCTAGGTGTGTATACGGATACTTTTTCAGTTTCAGATTGGCTAATCTTAATTAACCTTAGTGTAATCGATAGGAAGTTTTAATATTTTAAGTTCATTAATGTATTTCTCACTACTACCTCTCTACCACTACGGAATCTGAATTGACAATTCCATCTCACTGTATGCTAATGTGCTGCGGCAACTTGAACTGATGTATGTACGTGCGTATCAAGTTCTACGTAGTTGCGCACCGACTGACTGACTGAATGTATTTGTCTCTTATTCTTGTGTAAGTTATGTGACCAAAGATGAATTTGTTATCTATGGAGGTTATTTCTCATTATTCGTTTACGTAAATGAATCTATGATACACTTTAATTTTCGAAGCTGATAGATTACGAAAAAAGAGAATTACAGTTATCACATGTCACAATTTTTTGAGTAGTTTTTATGTGTTTGTTTGTGAAACTCACATTGTCATTTTGGACAGCATCATCCCTGCTTACTTCATGTAGAATATTAGTTACTGCACAATTATTGGATTATTTTATCCTGATGATAACCTTTTTTGTGATTGGTCGTTTTAACCAAGTTTCGTGGTGTTTGATCGTTTTCTATCAACTCATAAGAAAAGCCAGTCAATCACTATGGTAAGATGTTTACCAAGAGATACAACAAACCCTTAATGATGATCAATCATGGTACACGACCATAGAAACTAAGTGATTGTATATATGTAGAATAATTAAGAAGTTACATAATCGTATGGTGGTCTCATACATTAGTAAGGTTTCGTATTTTGAAGAATCAATTTTGTGATACTACTTCATCTCTTGGCGATAAAATTTTTTTACTCATGATCAAGTGTAATTAGTAGTTTCAAATCATACTACTTGTTTATTTGTGAGTAGTGTCAATCGCTTTACCTAAATCAAATGGATTTTTGGATAATATGATTTTGAAAATTTTATTTATTTTAATAGATGACCTGGTAGAATATCGAATTCCTGAAGGGAGTCTAGCATATCCTCCTTATAAAGCTGAAACTAATATATATAAATCTCAAGGATCCGAAGTGTTTCCAACGGAGAAATTGAACTCTAGTCAAGCCGGTGGTGGTCTTCCATTTTCAGATACTTGTTATGATGGACATAGAATTGAACCAGGAAGTCTTTTAGACGGAGGCATTGGTTGTCTTGTTGACTTAAACAGTGCTAGTCGTGATACAATGCCAGTTATACAACGAACAAATGCTGGAAATTCAAAAGTAGATCAATCAGTGAATCATCAATTTGTTGGCTGGCATCGGGATCGTTGGAAAACTTCACCGGACAAAGATAATGATGTTGTTGATATGCTTTTTCGTTTTGCTTCTATACGTAATTTTACCCGACTACGACTTTATATATCGAATAATTATTTAGAAAAGGTTAGTTTATGTTTTTTTTATCAATTGTGTTGTATTTATGTTGTATAAATATATAATAGTGGAATGTTTTTCCAAATATGCGCGTCATTTTTAATTAAAAGCTGTTTCATTATTTATTAATTGGATTTCACGATTAATAGCTCAAATGAATTATTCAAGCAGTAACAGTAAACTCATTGTTTCTGTTTTCTCTTCTTAACCGCTCAGATACGGTTACCCAGACGATTGGAAGTCAAATTTAGTGTAGGCGGTGTACATTTCTCTGGTCAGTCACCTATTTCACGTGAATTCAAATTAGAAAATCGTAGCCTAGGTGTTTTTAGCATTATTATGGATTTATCTCATAGAATTGGTCAAGTTGTACAATTGAAAGCATATTTCGCTGATGATTGGTTATTATTTAGTGAAATACGCTTTGAAAGTGGTAAGTTTTATTTTTTAAAAATATGTACGCTGATACTTTTACCTCTGTTATTATTTTACTTTCAAAATTTCACAAACGTTCAACTATCACACATAGTTTAAGGTAATCTATTTTTGAAATCATTCAATCATAGCTTCAAACAAGATAAAGCATAATTTCATGTTATACAACTTGTTACAAAAAAATCTATACAAAGTTATTCAAATCTTTAGGTCAATGTAGTCACACATTTTACACTTGAGAATTATCGTGGATGCGCACTGCTGAGGAGTCCCATACTAGGACGAAACGGCCGTCCAGTGCTTCCAGGTTTCTAATGGTGGTCTAACAATGATGATTGATTAATGATTTCAAATGTGTAAAAACGCAAACCTCCAAAACTGTGCCCCAATATAATTATCATAGTGATAGAATTCAATTAAGGTCATTTCATTAAGGGTTTTTCAATAAATTCTAGGCTTTATTAAAATAACATTAAGGGTGATAATTGAATAATGAATGAATCTCTTCATATATACGGTTGAATACGTTTATTTAAACGGCATAAATTTACTATGAAACGATTTGTGTGGATTGGTTGAACGGCAACAACAACAACAACCAATTGAAATGTCCCGTAAAGTTATTTCGACCACGTAGAACACTCTGTTATAATAAATGAATCAGTGAGTAACTTCTAATTCACATTCAAATCTAATTCATACATACATTGAGGTGTGCCGATTTAATGCGTGTTCTTACGTTTCGTGATAAGCTCGTTCAGACTACCTTATCCAATTGACGTCTGACGGTTAATAAATCAGAAGATGAATTCCAAGTAGCGTATACGTTTATTGAAGCACACCACAATTAATAACAGCAGACCACAGACAGACCGGGCAGACAGACTAGCGAGTGAATATGCGAATGTGCGGATGGATTAATAAGATAAAAATGTTCGTATATATACAAAGGAAAATGTCTGAGTTATCGTGTTATTTAAGAGATTAATATTAAAGCGAATAGGATGCATATATGCGTAGGCGTTAAGCAATGCTCAGTCATACTAGCTCATACAAACCAGATAATAAAAAATACCAATTGTACATACAAGTTGTTGCTAAGCGAATGGCTTGGTTAAATAAATTAATCGAAAGGCTTAACCAAGTTAGATGTGAGAGAAGTGAAATATATGTGGAGGCACTACAATAGCCCCCTTCCAGCAAACAAGGATACGAAAGTGTCTGTGTTTGCGAAAAAAAAATCAAAATAGTCGGAATGTATCAAAAGGTACGAAAATTAAAGTTACCTTGTCCGAGTACGTTCGTAAGTTCGCATAGTAACAGATCGAAAATATGTGGTAAGCGGTTATTAGCAAAAATAATCGATTTCGAATAGAACACATTAGGAGCAGTTGTACGATACGAAAATGTAATACGAATGCTGCAAAATATTTAATATCGTTTAGGCATGACAGTTAAGACGGAATTCGATAATCGCATATACATTACGGTAAGGCTCATCGTTAAATCGAGTGGCTGCAGAGAGGTGAAGAAATTGCGATCGAGATTATCGTGGAAAAATTTGGAGAATAAAGCTGCGTACAGATGCGATGCATGGACATTAAATGCATATCGAAAACATAAGTTACTACCATTGAGTATATGACTCCAAACTTATGTGTATGATAGCGTTGCAAACCGTTGCCAGCGTTGGGGTAGTCGAAAAACATGCGAATATCAGCGTGCAGGAGGTTCGTTCGACTGCTTGAACTGCTGCTTCGTGTGCATGTGCGTAATATCATACCACCAATTTACTTAGCAGGCTGCAAGATTTTCGAGGTACGAGCAGCAGATGAGTACATCGAAAATATCTCCAATGCGATAATCGTATAGCCACGGAAATATTAATAGACAATAATTGTCGTTGAGCCATTGCTTTGATAAGCGATTCGAAACATAGTAATGCGATACGGCAAAATAAATGGAACGAACTCACCTTAATCATGAACGTCGTTCGTTTTGTCGAAAGAAGTAAAATAATTCCGTGAGTTACAAATGTCCTGCCATGAACAGAATATTCGTAATGCGATTCGATTAGCGATTAAGATAATTCCATTATTGTCATAATATCATGATTAATCATAATAATGGTTTTTTCGCATTAATACGATAATGATAGCGATAATTGGATAATTCGAGAAATGGATTCATGCAGCGAGTTAATAAGTCATCAAAATGATAATAAGATAATACGATTTTCGTATGTGCATATAACCGCTGAAGTGGGTTAGCTGCTTTCGTCCGATGAGAGAGTGTGTTGTCTGTGTTGTATATTGAATCTGATTCGATCAGCGAATTCATTAATTTTCCTGAGCTGCTTTGTCGCTGTATGGCGTCGGGATTTCCAGTTAGTGGTTCTGTTCGATTTGTTCTCGAGATTACCAACTGGTTGGTTATATTCGATTTGTCATCGGAATCGTCGAATTATGTAGTGAGAGTTTACTGATCTTCAGTGAAGACGTATGGACGAATGAATCGAGCGAAGCAAATAGGGAGTGATATGAATGAACGACGGGTTCGCCATTTTGTACGGTGGCCGATTTTGCTGACGTCGGGATAACCATTTTGTAGTGCACTGGCGAGCGAATGCACGGAAGAATGATTGCGTTCGATTCTACTTCGAAATTACCAATTAGTTGGAAGCGTTCGATTTTTCGTCAGCATCAGGAAACATCCTGAGAACGGCGGGCAGCTTTGTGATGAGTACGTAGATTCAACGGCGGGGTAACCATTATGTATGGTGGCCAATTTTGTTGACGTTGGGCTCACCATTATGTAGTGTGCCCGATGGCTGCGTGTTCTTAAGCTCGATTTATAAATCAGAAGATAAACTCCAAGTATCGTATACATTTATTCGAGGCACACCACATACAGACCGGGCAGACAGACTAGCGAGTGAATATGCGAATGTGCGGATGGATTAATAAGATAAAAATGTTCGTATATATACAAAGGAAAATGTCTGAGTTATCGTGTTATTTAAGAGATTAATATTAAAGCGAATAGGATGCATATATGCGTAGGCGTTAAGCAATGCTCAGTCATACTAGCTCATACAAACCAGATAATAAAAAATACCAATTGTACATACAAGTTGTTGCTAAGCGAATGGCTTGGTTAAATAAATTAATCGAAAGGCTTAACCAAGTTAGATGTGAGAGAAGTGAAATATATGTGGAGGCACTACACATTAACAAAAAACAAAACAATTAACTAATGAGTATGTGCTATCAAAGATTTCATTGAAATTATGAATCGATTAATGTTAGACTAACATTAGAAAACCTGGAAGCACTGATAGCTCGTTTCGTTGTAATATAGAACTCATCAGCAGTACTTATCCACGATACCCGCGGGCGAGAATCGAACCCAGGAGCTTCGATCTCGCGTGAGAGATCTTTACATCTAGGCCGCTTAGCCGACATCCAACAGTCTAACTTCAACTGTTTTTGACGGACACTGCCTCACACTACACGATTTAGCTCCATTGGTCATAACTTCTTACTAGAACTTGGAGAAATTCCCTCACGAAGCTAATCACCATCAAAGATTTACCTACATTTGCTTATTGGAAGTTAATTCAAAATTGACTTCAATACATTTTTATGCGTAATTAGTTATCTATTTCAAATATATATCATATGGATTCTGGGTTTGATTTTCAGTTCAAAAAAAGACTATTTATCATTCGTAATAAAAATACACTGTAAAGATGAATATGCCCTTTAATAACTACTTTTTAGCTGATAAAAATACTATACTGTCTTTAGGATCCGAACTGAGGTTTGGACTGAGGAATAACTGTCTAGGTAGTTTAGATACACGCCTTGCCCAGTTTAAAACCAAAACAAGTGATTTGAGTAAATGACGGTTCTAATATTCATCATAAATATAAATATACATCATTACCTAAACAAATATTACTACTCAGTTATTCCACCAACAATTGTTCAATTAATCAAATCAACAGCAACAATAAATGATATTCTATCCCTCCTGGATACGTCAGATTTGTTCAAAAGATAATATTTGGTTGCTTTATAACACAGTGTTTCCTATTCTGTAAGAGTGCTTCAATTCAAAATCAAAATACTCAATTCCGGCCAAGGTAAGCGATATAATCAAAAGAGGAACAAATCAGTATGGCTGTTGCCATGACTAAGTATCAGCTTAAACAACATAAATGCAGTTCAGAAAGAAACATAGAAACTCAGTGAAGGCAAAAAAAATAGAAACTATAATAAAATACAAATATTATCATCTCAAATGGAATCGAACAGACTAACAAAATGTACAACTGAAGGAATCAATAAGGATAAAATACAAATGTATACATGGATGGATTTTCACAAACAAAGCCTTCAAAAATGACTCTTACTCCATCTGTTATGTCAATGCCTTCACTCTAGCACTATAATCCATGAATACTCATCGTGATACTTGAAAACTTTGAATGATAACTCTGTCATAATTGTATTATAATTTGAAAATTTTCCAACAGCAAAGAAAAATTTCAAAATCATTTTAATAAACTAGAAGTATTGAACTTTCTCAGTATGACTTTATTACATGTTAGTTAGAATGGTTTATGTGTTTCGGAGTAGTTTGTGTGTGCCATCTCCACATTTGTT